ACCAGGATATGTGAAATCCATTTTCCAGTCGATCTGAGTACAGCTTGTTGCAGGAGCTGATGCATGCAGTGGAGCCCGTCGACATAACATTTGGTTTCTGCAAAATTGGTCCCTTTTAAGCAAATTAAAGACTACTTTCAGAGATTTTTAAAATTTCACAAGCTCCTTTAAACTGCTCAGTGATCTTTTCACAAACAGCGTGCCGGGCATGTCCAAAAGTGATGCTTTAGGAGCTCTAACATTTGGGAAGCAGCAGGCTTTGATAATGGTGATTTAAGGCGATTCAGCGGCGCATTAGTAAAATAAACAGAGCTGATGACAAAGCTGAATGTCACTGAATACATTATTAAAGTCTCCCAGTACTCTCTAAAGTAGCCTTCAGGCATCAAGGTAGGTGAAATTGGAGAGCCGCACTTCACTCAAGCCTTCGGGCTAAAAATGAAAAAATTAACAATGCTTATAATGTTCCTGCCAGTTTCCTCTTTAAATTCATCTCCCATTCAAGTGCGAAAAAGCTTCTGCAAACTGACTCCCTCCGGCTTCTTAAATGTGAGAATTTGCTGCTTTTCCCACAGATTCCTATTGTGTTTATAGATGAAGAGATGGGTGTATGAGAAGCTGAATACATACAGGCTTTCTAAAATGAAAGATTTAAAAATAACTGATTCTTGTCTGCAACGTGCAACATGTGCATCTTTGCTTTGCTCTGGTAAAACTGATGGAGCAGCATAAGAACCAGCTCTCAACCTGCAGCAGGTCGTGGTTAGACTGACCCTCCTTCTTAATGCAGATCAGAGGAGAAACAGTAAGGCCAGTCAGCTGCAGGCCAAGAAAGAGAATTACCCAGTGATTAATCATTAAAATAAAAAAGCTAACGTGAGCTGCAAAATATACCTGGATAGGTGTTAATACACACAGACAGACTGCCCAAGTAAAGTTGCTGATATCCCTTCGTTTCTTTTCTTTTTAGACATTTAACTGAAAATAAATTGAAATTTGTTTTGTTTTTTTCACCACTTTTTCTAATATTTAATTCAAGAATAAATCCTTTGCATGTCTTTGCGGTTTAAAGTGATTTATACACTACATTATTAAAAGTGTTGACAGCACAGAAGGAGTTTCACTGGCCAGTGATCTTGATATTAAGAGTTGTGCGTCATTCCTCAACCAGCAGTTTAAACACTGCTCTACTATCTTGCACCAGAAATGACAGTTGATTGAAGAAATCTTTCCTATATTATTGAAGCACAGCAGCCTTGCTTGCCTTTTAGTTCTAAGATGTTACACCATCTCCTGCCATTAGCTGGAGCTGCTGTCCCAACAGGCGGCTGACACGTCCTCTCCGAGGAGGGTTGAAAAGTAGATGACAGCTGTGCAAACCGGTACACTTTGATGCAGAAAATGAGCGACTGTTTGTTGGTGATATAAAGTAAAACTTGCATAATGCGAGCGGAGAGACAAGTAACAACAGTCTGCGCGGGTGTCTGAACACCAGTCTGCAAACGTAGCTGACATTGTGCACGTGTAACTTGATAAACAGCACGAATGCCGCAAGTTTCAGAGATTACTGAAAACGTTCATCTAAAAGACACATGCAATATTAGCATGGCCGGTGTTTAATCTGGTCCATTAGCTTGTGCTCAGTTTTAAGTGGTTTCTTACTGAGAGACTAATTCTCCTTTAAAAAGCTCGTAAATTATTCATCAGAAATATCCCTTTAAATTAGATGATGTGCTGTGATCTAAACAATGCCTTCCCCACAGCTCAATTCGTTGCCTTGAAATTAATCGACTTGTGTTTTCCAACACCTCGTGACGTTCACCCAACCTAACATCACAAGTACAGACAGAAACACAGCCTCCCACTGGTGCCGAGAGACCGATCCCTGGATGCTGCAGGTGTCAGTCAGCCCCACAGCTGCTCCATAAATCTCGGCGGGGCCGACTAGCTCCAGCAAACCACTACTCTTCAGGAAACGGCACTTTGCTGACTAATGCTAGTGAGGAAGTTGAGGTTACGGGTGTGGTTGAATAAAGCTCTATGTCAGATGGCATGAAGGAGGAGGCATGATGGTGGCAGAACAGAGCCGGTGACCTACGCCTTTCTAATATATTTAGTGACCACTAATTGTTTTCTGACATGTTTCATCCACGTGACTGTTTTGTTTAAAGTCTGAACCTGTTGTTAAAATTTTAGACAAAAAAAGCAAACTGATAAACAAAGCTGCAGCAGCAAATTTAGCTCTTCCATCACACATGAATGACTCTCACGCTTAAAGTGTTTCTTTACTTTATGTGCTGATCAGAGCCCGAAGGCCCAAAGAGAATGCATGGTCTATTTGCCTAGATTACAGCTGGAGTTCACGTCACTGTGCTGTTTTCTAGAGGTGATCTCTGCTGTCCTGTATTCCTCACGACCTATTATTTTATCACCTCCCTCCAAAGACTAGCGAGAACTTTATAACTTTACAGTTTCAGATGCTAAGATAATGAGATTTAGATGACACCAGTGCCATTAGTGATGTTTTTATGTTGCCTCAGTTTTCTGTGTTGAAAAACGTAGGTCCACATATGTTTATTTTTACAGGTTTAATAGTAGAAAGATAAAAAGCATCCGGCTTCTTATCTTCTGTGTACTGTGCAAAGAATCAAGAATCGATAAGCTTGGATACTGCCCGGGTAGGTGGGCAACATTTCTGAATTTCCATGCCCAACTCTGATATTCTACATACTAAACAAAAGGGAAACGCAGCAGGAGAGGATACTGTATCAAACATATTAAATTAACTAAACTGAAATCAATCCTCCAGCATATATTCACACAGTCACACAATGAAATGCTGAACACATCAATTTAAAAGGACTAACACTGACTTATTTGTCTCTGCATTTCATAGACTGTGTGGGTTTTTCAGCACCGCTGCACCTGTGAACATGCCTGTGAAAAGTTGGTTCCAAAATGTTGTGATGCTGTGTAAAATATCAATAAAAACCAAATGCAATGATTTGACAATCTCATGAACCCAGATTTTATTCACAGCAGAACTTAAAAGTCATTTCAAATGATTAGACTGGGAAAAAAGATCATTTTCGAATTTGATGGCAGCAACATGTCTCAATAAAGTTGGGGCCCGGCCATGTTTACCATTCAAGACAGTCTGGGAACTGAGGAGACCTCCTGCTGGACTTTTGGGAGAAGAAAGGTGTCCCATTCTTGCCTGATACAAAATTCAAATTCAAATTTTCTTACAATGATAGATTTTCACAGTCGTTTGATTTGATTTCTATGTTTTACTTTGGATAAAATCTGGGTTTGTCAGATTTACAAATGACTGCATTTTTAGTGTTGTATAAATCTGACACAAAAACTTTGCCGCAGGCTGAGAGCAGTTGCCCACCTCTCTTTTTAGCAGCGATGCCTGCAGGGACAAGTCTAAAACTGGAATAGGAATTTAATTTAATGAATTTTCACCATTGAAATATTTGTGCTGATTAAACCAGCAGTGTGTAAAGCAATTAAATGAGCTTATTTGTACTTACTAGAGGCTAGTAAAACTCTGATCTACTGGCCTGGGAGTCAGTGCGGAAAAATGTTGTAACAAAATGTTAGAGTTATGTTTGAGGTTGAAAAAAATTATAGAGAATTGTTTCAAATAATGCAATTAAAAAAATGTTAGCAACTTCCTGTAAAGACTCCACAATGGAGAACACTGGCTTGTATGCTCATCCGCACACACTCATACAATATTTCATCCTATGCATTCAGCACCTTCACAAAACAGGAAGAAACCAGATTATTTGGGATTAAATGCCATGCTCGTGGGCACGTCAGCATGCAGACTGAAAGAGTGGGGCAGGACCAACAACTTTACCTGGCTCTTCCTCCTTACCAGCAACAGTAAGGGGGGGAGGGAGGGGGGGTACTGGACATTGCATTTTGGGTTATGTAGACCAAAATACTAAGTTTTGCTCTACAAAGGCCTGATATCCACTTACGGGGACATTATACTGCTACTGTTCTATCAAAATTTTAAACAAATATCCTCATATGTGGCTCTCATTTTTCTTAAAAACAAAAATAAGGTAAAAGAAATAATCTGGTAATTCTTTGTTTTTAACATTCATCGGGCCTCAATATGCCCAAATATCAAAGAGAAATTAAAAATGCATGCCGTGGAAGAGTTCGGGTCTTAGGAGGATTGCACCTTTAGTGCAGACTCTAGCTTTTCACTGTACTGGTCCATAACTTGATAGGATAAATAAAAGGTTCTGTCTTATAAACACAAAAAAGGGAACTCTATATTAATAAAAAATAATAAAAATCTATCATTAAGCTATGGTATGTCTGCCTTCCTGTGACATTTAATGTATCGCAGCAATGTGAGCATGGGATCCAAAGTGATAAAACAAACTAAGCACCAAAGCTGCTTACAACCTGCAAAGTTACATAATCGGAGTAAGGTGAGCAGTAAAAGCACACGGTGGACACTGGGATAGAAATCACGCATTCATTATCCGCATTAACAGTGCGTTAATGTGGTTTGTGTGAGCTCTGCTCCGAGTTGTAAAGCACAGGCGTGCAGCAGCGAGACTGCAAACCAAATGACAGCTCGAGTTCCGTGAAATTAACACACACACGCACGCACGCACACACACACACACACACACACACACACACACACACACACACACACGCTCGGTCTGAATGAATGAATGTCATGCAGTTTAAAGAGCGGAGTGGAGCTTTCCTTTCAGCACCACCTTTACAAACAGAGCAAGCGCCGCTTCCAGCTTCCTCCTGCCTCTCTTCTATCACACTGCAAAGGAAAATTGCCGCCTTAAAGAAAATTAGAAAAACAACTTTCACTGCTTCCAGCCGAACCAAGCACTCATCTCCTGAGCTCACGAACACTTTTAAGCAGAGGCAAATCACCGCTGACACGTATCATTTCCAGCTGAAGTTAATTAAAAGGAGAGGAGAGCCGTTATTGGCCTACTTACCATCAATCGCCATGATGTTCTGTTTTGGCTTCAACCAAAGTGGGCGGTAAAGAAGGGGGAGCGGCCCACTGCAAGGGTGAGGAAAGGGGGGAACCCACGGTGTGGTACAGTCCGTGAGATGCTCGGGGAGGAAGCTGAATGTCTGCTGCACAAATACCACACACAGCTGAGAGGATACAGGCTGAATCATATGATCAGGAATTCTATTACTTATCAGATTTTTGCTAGTCCGCCCAACATGACTAATTAGATTATATATATTAATATTATTCAGATCCTGACACATCTGAATCTAAAATCTGTTGTGTTGATATAAATTATTCTGGTTCACAAGACATTATAGGGGCTAAAATGGTAGAATGGGATCATTTAATTGCTCTGCTTGTTTATCATACCCATATTAATTCCTTTGCTTCTATGCAGATATACTAAAATGTTCATCATCAGTCATTTTTATATGAAAGCAGCTAATTCCTTTCATATAAAAATGACTGACTGCTTTTATCGTCACTTTGGGCATCAAGTATCTGCCTCAAGGTTTCTGCAGGAAGAAATCTCGCTCGTCTGCGTCTGTTAGCCACGGTTCACTGCGCAGCTATTACAATAAAATCACAGACTGACAAATATATGGTAGAAAACATATTTGCGATTGAAAATATCAAAGCAGCACACAGGTCGCACAAGAGTGCCAACAGGGACTTTGGCTCAGGCGCAGTTCAATTCAGTTTATTTATACGGCACAAAATCACAGTAACAGTCATCTCAAGGTATTTTATTTTGTAAGGTAAAGACACTAAATAGTACAGAGAAAACCCACTATGACCCCCTATGAACAAGCACTTGGCGAGAGTGGGCAGAAAAATCTCCCTTTTAACAGGAAGAGACCTCCAGCAGAACCAGGCTCAGCGAGGGTAAGTTTGCCGTGACTGGATGGGGGTGAGGGGAGGAAGACAGGACTGCAGAAACACTGTGGAAAAGTACCAGAGATTAATAATAACTGATGATGAAATGCAAAGTTGTGTATAAAACAAAAATGGCCCCAAGTTAAATCCAGAATATAATGTAATCTCCTTCTTCCTGAAGAATTTCAGAATTTCTTCTTTCATGTTTTATGTTCTGTTCTCCTTCTCTCTCTATGCTTCTCTTTTGTCTTTTTATCCCCTCAACTGATGCCAATCTGAGTGTGGTTCTGTTAAAATGGAGTTCTGTCTTCCCACTGTTGCCATAGTGCTGTTGACATGGGATCATTTGATCACTGAGGCTTTCTCACTTTAATTTGAAGGGTCTATTTTAAAGATAAAGTAGATATAAAAACTGAAATATACAGCTCTAGTGATAACTCCAGTGATATCAGTCTCTCACTCACTCTCATGTTTTCATGTAACAGAGACACCAGCTTGTTTAAGCTTCTTAAAAAATACCTGAAAATGGAAAGACCTTTTTCCATAACGTCCAGCTTGAACAATAACTTTCTTTGATTGCAGCTGAAGGTCCAGTTCCAGTCCAGCTCCTACACCCTCCCACTCCATGTGGAGTCACACATGCAGCCACTGGAGAGTCTTAAAAGGTGTTGTGGTAGAAATACAGAGGCACGCTTTGGGATGTCCTCGCCTTTCTATGATGCAAACAGAAACTTTCTCTGCAGCTTGAGCAGTTTAGATTATCAGATAGTGCACTGAGATCATCGGTTATTGAAAATTTATCTATTGCAATTAATTTTCATTCATACCCTGCTTTGTCTTAATTTTATCTTTAGTAATAGAAATTAGATTCAAACTAACTCTTTTTTATAAATATTGAAAGTTGGTTCATTTTGTTCATTGCTGAGACATGAAAGCAATGTCAGTTTTGTGAGCTTATTCTAGTAAGCCTTGATGCAGACTGGTTGTTGGAGGGCTTTTACAACCCACTTACATTTAAAACTAGTTGGCTTGGAACAGCACTTAATGTGATGGACCCTGCATGGCGATGGAAATGCAGTGAAAGTAGGGAGGTGCTGTATTGGCAGCTCTGGAATTTAGTTAAACAGTAAAAAGAAAAAATCCCTCCTACATCTTTTCTTAAGCAGTGCTGCTTAACCTCAATAGAAAATTACATAAGGTCAATAAAAATGAGAAGCAGAACTCCAAAATAGAAAAGAATGCAGTGCAGCAGATCCCAGTGACACAGACAGGCTGCTTAATGGGACAGATATTTTAGATGTAGCTCTGCAGTGCGTTCTACATGTTTTGGCCCATTTGTTCCATTTTATCCAACACTTCCAATCCTGCTAAAGAGATTATCCACTTTAACTTTTGCCTTTAAGGCTTTCAGTATCTAAAAAGTAAAAAAGAAGCTGGCAGTACAGCAGTGCTCAGAATGAGGACAGATATAAACTTCACTTCGATCATTTTAATGTATTTCATCATCTTAGTTTAACGGACATTTTTCTATTGCATGTTCCAGTGTGCTTCAACCCCCCACCCCCGCCCCCCACCCCTTTTAAGGCAATGCATACAATAAATGAGCCATTATTAGTATAATGCTTGGGTAACAGTATCGTCAGTGCATTCAGTGCAATGGAAAACCTAATTGGTAGCGCTGAAAGACAGGAGGGGGGATCACTCTGAAATACTGCACTGGCACATGGTTATAAACAGAATTGCAGTCCTGTTTAGTCCAGAATTTAACTTCATATCCTTCTTCCTGAATTATCAGGCCCTGTCATACATTTAAGACAATTCGGCACTTTTGACCCTAAAATATGTGAAAGATTCAGGAAATCCAGAGAAAACTATGCAGAGACAAAGCTGAAAAGTCTGTTTAAAGCTCCGCAGTCCAAAGACAAAAGATAGATATTCAAAAGCCTGCCCTTTGGTCCAATCAAATAATAATTCAACTGGACCTTAATGATAATTAGTCATATTTTATTGTCACTGTACATCAAAAAGTCAGCATGCGTATAAGGTAATTACATATGGCACAGAATATGCTGTGATACTGCAGACAGTGCTATTGCTTATTTCTCCATTCTGCACACATTCCTCTGTATCGAGGGACTATACTATACTATACTCATCTGCCTGGAGTCCTGAACTGTCACCCAATGGAAACATGTCGCCATGAAAAGCACAGGAGACCCTGATCTGTTGAGAGCTGAAATCCTGACTCAAACAAGCTTGAACAGTAATTTTGCTTTGAAAAGCTGCAGCATGTGCTTTTAGCTCCCAAAATGTAGAAGTGTGTAATTAAGGGCCTCTTCATTAACTCAGTAAAACATGTCACAGATTTCCATTTTAGTCATTTATAAATCTAATTGGTAACATATAATTGGAAGCACAGATTAAAGATTATGTTCATTTAGCATTTCTCTGCTGAGATCTGATTTCTTGCCACTAGATGTTCAACTGATGCTGATGGAGGCCTGTGGAAGGAAGGAAGCACAGATTAGTTTAGATGGTTTAGGTAGGAAGTATTTTGAATAGTTCAGCCCCTAAAGTGATTAACCTGAAGACTGATTATTTGTGGATCAGGCTCCACCTGCTGAATGGTGTGGCTCACAGGTCAGTAAGTGGAAATCAATAAAAAAGGTGTCAACTGTAGATGATTGTAATCTACCTCTAAGCTGGTTTGACAGCTGCTAATTATCGCATGCCATTTACTTAAATTTTATGTAAAGTGTAAAGAATGGATATTAGTATTCTGCATTTTAAATATTTAGGTGTTGTTTTTTTCCTGATACATCTGCAGGTAAATTGATTTTTCTGTACAGCAGTGCTTCACATGACTCAGTGCTGCTTCACCCACCACCTCAGATCTTAATCACCAATTGCTGACGGTTGAAAAACTGTTCTGGATTTACCAACAATTACACAGTGTAGTGTAGTGTGAAATCATTGCCTCCCTGCGATGTGAATCTTGAAGGTCAGGTATTAAATACAGCACTGAGATGAAATATTCATACAGCATGCATTATTGAAATGAAAACCACTGCTGCCTGGGGTGTGATGGACATACTGTAATTTTCTATTGTACTAAAATCCTACAAGCCACAAATACCCTGCTTTAAACTTCTATGTATAAACAGCAACCTCTGGAGCTGAAAATTGAAATCCAGAAGTTGCAAAAACTGCAGTTCCTCTAATGACCACTTGAGGCGGGCTCCAAAACCAAGGCACCCCCCTTGGGGCCTTTTAGAGCATCGTCAATGGTGTTACCTAAACTAATTTAAACTTGTTGTGACCTACAGCTGGTCCAAAGACTTTACACTCACTGACTACTTTATTAGATATATCTGTTGAACTGCTCATTTGCACAAACATCTAATTATCCAATCAAATGGCAGCAACTCAGTGCGTTTATGCATATAGACATGATCAAAACAAGCTGCTAAAGCACTACTGGGCATTACAATGGGGAAGAAATGTGATGTAAGTGACTTTGAATGTTTCATGGAGGTTGTTGACTTATTGGCTGGTCTGAGTTTTTCAGAACCTGTTGACCTGCTGGGATTTTCCCCAAAAATAATCTCTGGAGTTTACAGAAAATGGTTTGGAAAGGAGAAAATACCCAGCAAGCAGCAGTTCTCTGGAAGGAAATGACATGTTGAAGTCGGAGGTCCAGAGGAGGGTCAGGCTACCTCAAGCTGATAGGAAGGCAACAGTAAGTGAAATAAACACTTGCTATAAACAAGGTATGCAGAAGAGCTTCTCTGAATGCAGAAGGAGAATACCACACTGGGTGTCCTTCCTGTCAGCTAAGAAAAGGAAAATGAGGCTCATCAAAAACTGGGCGATAGGAGAATTAGAAAAACCTTGCCTCACCTGATGAGTCTTCTGTTATGACTTTCAGATGTTAAGGTCAGAGTTTGTCGTAACATGAAAGAATTGATCGATCCTGCCTTATATCAACAGTTCAAGCTGTTGGGGTTGTGTGGGAGATATTTTCTTCTCTGAGTACCAGTCGAGCATTGTTACTCACCATGTCCATCCCTTTATGACCACAGTGTACTCATCACCTTCTTAACACACCATGGCACTTGAAACTCAGATCATCTCAGACTGATGTAAACTCTACTGAAACGGCCTTCACAGACACCAGATCCAATTTGCATTGTGAACGTGCAGCTGAGAAATCTGGGGC